GGAGTTAGTGGACTGTCAGGGAGCCATTTTATAGTGTCCTAATTCTTAAGGGCTCTAACTTGCTCTGGCTGGCAGCAGTCCTCACGGGATTCTCTGCTTTCTGAGTATGGTGGTTGCACTCTCGCTATTTCTTTCTACCCTGACATGCTGTCTGAACCATGCGTGCAGAGAGGGGATAGGAGCTGGCTACACAAGCTGTCTGCTTAGTTAGGAAATTTACCATCCCTTTGTGTTGTGCAAGCGGCTCGGAGAGACTTTGTGTTGTTTTTGTGAAGAGTAAATAAAGTGCTATTTCAACCATTTCACAGCCTGATAACCTAGGTTTGTTTTTGCTCTTAAGCTTGTGAAAGTGACTGTAATGGAATCTAACCCATCATCACATAGCTAACCAAATGAAAATGTCCAGTCGTGTATTAACAGGCTCTTTTATATATCATGTGATTATTTACAATAGTAATGGCAAAACCATGGTGTTGGTTCACTGTTCCTCAGAATGTGCTGTTTATAGGCATAGTGTATGATGGATTGGGTTTAGGTGAGACGGGACTTCTAGGTTCCACCTATTGCTTTGTCATTGACTCGTTGCAAGATCCAGGACAAGCCATTTAGGGTTCTGAAGCCAGGGATTGCTTTTGTATTGATGGCTAAACCAGATAGCTGGGTGCATTTAAATGAAGTTAATTTCAGAGACTGCTATTGTGGGCATAATGCAGTCCCCCATGCTTCCGTCTCTTTACTTTGGCCTTGCTGTGCTTCATTTGATGACCAAGATGACCCTCCTATTGAAATGATCCTGATCTGCAGAGGCTACTTAGAGAGCCTCAGACTACCCAGGTGATCCAGAGGTAAAACTTATTAACAAGTGAGGCTTCTCTCTCTCTCTCTAAAAAAATTATCAGTAAGATACTGCAGTGATGGGAGTGGGAACTTCCTAAATTTGACCATTTTCCTGCTGATTTCAGATCACCCAATTTGAACTCAGGTGGCCTTGGTTTTAAAATCCCAAGAAGATTCTGTACACATCATGTTGTGCTAAACAAGTGTGTGCGTATGCGCGTCTATAAATCTCCTGAGTAACTTTATAAGGACAAGCTACAGTTGAAGTTGGAAGTGGGGGAGGCAGTGGGGCTGTAGAAGTGAAGAGGAAGTTGAGCATTTTGGAATCCAGATACCATGCAAATAGTCGTGCTACTTGGTATGCATTGCTACAGATGTACACATCCCTGAAGGACAGATGTATTAATTGCTAGGGAGGAGTTGCTGCCTAGATATTACAGTGGGGAACTAGAAACCAGAACTCCTGAATTCTATTTTGGTCTCTGCCCCAAGCCTGGTATTTGATCTCGGGCAAGACGTTTCACCTCTCTGTATCTAGTTTATGCCTTTGTATAATAATAATAATTGCCTACCTCACGGGAGGCTTGCAACAATTGTGAAGTTTTTGGAGATGCATAGAGGGAAAGTGTTTAGTTTATCTCCCCTCTTCGCAGGCTCATCACTTTACAAGCTAATATTTTCGGTTACCAAAAATAAATAAAAGGCGAGCACCATGACTTATTTAATAGAATCACAATGTCCAGGCTTTGGATTTTTATGCGTGGATCTTTTAACCCCATGATATTTCAGCCATACTGTACTATGCATGCAAATACAAACTCCACAGTGGCTGCCACACCATCTGCCACCTTTATCCTGCTGAATGGATAGATCCTTATCTCAGAGCAGCAAGTTAGCTGAACAGTGTGTTCAGTGGTAAACAGAAAGGTGAGCTGGTTCAGGCCCTGACTTGGGACCCTCCATATGGTTTTGGGCCATTCACCACAGTGGAAGCCTCAAGTTCCTCCCCCACTCCAACCTTTATGCTCCAGCTGTCATCTTCCAGGTCCATTCCCTGGAACACCCCTCTAAAAGCACAGTCATGTTTTCCCTTAATGCTGTAGCCTCAGGGGGACTGAAGTGAGGACAAGCCTGACAAATGGTGCAACCTGCTGCTTATGACTGTGAAAAGCAAAGAAAAAAAATAGTGCAGCATCTTTGAATCCTTGTCTGTGTACAGTCTGTGTTGGGCCTGAATCAAATGCTGCAGAGCAAGTATATCTACATGTTTCACAATGCAAAGCAGATTTCCATGGTGTCATGTGTTTTTTGTTTTTGAAAAACAGTTCTGCTTTACCCACTGGCCTCCCAAACTTCTAAGGCTACTGGATTTCCCTCCAAGTATTTTTTTTCCAAGTTTAGAGCTGAACTGAATTTTTTCTGAGTTCAGAACTGAGCTGCGGTTTCCATGAAACCCATGGTGCATTCCTTCCACAGATTGTTGTAGTGGGTAGATATTTAGAAAAGATATTTGGTATAAAATAAGGCAGCTAGGGAATTACAAGATCATGCTGGTTTAAATTTAGCTGCCCCAAATTAGGCACTTAGCCGCATTCCTAAATAGAGTTTAAGAGCCTTGATATTACAAAGGTGATAAAGAATGGAAGTGAAGGTGGAGGTCTTGGAACAATGTTTCTGAGTATTTGGATGCCTAAAGATTGGCACCTACATTTGAAAATTTTACGTGGGTAGACCCACACACACGTGCTCATTGGAGCACTGGTTCTTGTGATCCTTGTTTTATTAAAAACTAGCTCATCCAATTAATAGTTAACCACACAGTTTCATAGTTGGTAGGGTCAGAAGGGACCTGAGCAGATCATCAAGTCCGACCCCAACGATACATATGGTATCGTTATGCATGTATTAGGTGCACATGGACACCTGGGATTATTATTATTATTATTTTTTTTTTTTTTGAACATCTGAATCCTGTATGACCAGAGACTGCACCTTTCTGGCCACGTTAAAATCAGGTGACTTATATGAGACTCGTCTTGTGTATGTTTGCAACCTGATTTTTCAGAACAAGGAGGTTTGGAAAGGCTTTCAGAGGTGCATTCAAAAGTTATCGTGATTAACTGGAACCTCCAAACCTTACCAGTAATAACTTTCTTCTTGTTATCTCTTAAGGTTGGATAATGCTGCTAAGTGCCCTCATCTTGAATTTCAGCCTTTTAATCCCTATTCCCATAGCCTTAGTGGAAACCACTGCACACATCATAGGGTGGTGGTAGTACTTAAATATAATGCTTGTTCAGATGGCATTTAAGAAATACAGAAACTTAATTTTCCAGTAGCAAAATCCAGGAAGAGAGAAAAACATTAATCCAATGGGTGTAATCTCTAAGGGAAGTAGTACTTAATTTTAATTTGGCATTTCCCTTGGATGAAAACTTTAGTGAATTATTATGTAGAATTTATATGAAGCCTGGGTTTAGGTAATCATCTTTAATATTTATACTCTTAGGGAAAAATGGAATCATTAGTAAGCATGCATAATTAATGAATAAATTATATTTTCCTTTGTTTTCCTTCAGGTATAAGGAAATGCTAGATCTAGTGATATCACCCAGCCTGACTGTAAATAGAGAGTGCCCCGACAGACTGAAGCTTAACCTTTCTAACATTTATGCCACGGCTCCAGATGACATAGAAGGTAGGCTGCCTCTTCTTGCTTATGATTTATTTAACTTTAGCATACAGCATGTATATAACAAAAAGAACTAGCCAGGGATGAGGCCTGCATAGGTGAGAATTAGTCCTTTGATGCAACAAGCAGTTCAAATTTTTTATTTTATATTTCTGTAGCAACTCCAGTTATCTCATGTCATTAGATCAGCAGCGATTTGTATGTAAATAGCAATGACATATGCCACACAAGATTGTGTGTATAAACATGTAGTTTTGGTCAGGATTGGCAGTCTTGGTTTGGATTCCAATAATCCCAAGAGTAGCATTAATTTGAACTCCTAGTTCTAGTAATATTGCTGTTTGGAGGACTAGACGGAGGGGGGG